GGCGGCAATGGGCTCACTAAAGGTACGTTGTTTTGCAACGGGGTGGCGACACTGAGTTCGCGGATGGCAGCGATGAGCTCACTGCAGGCACAAAAACGGCCTTCAGTGAGCTGACTGCTGCCATCCAGCGTCTGCCGTCATCCCGCCGCCTTCAGCAAGGGAGGGAACTCCAGTGGCGGCTGCGGGGGCAGGTCCGAACAGGGCAGCGGGGTCTCGGGCGTCTCGTGGCCGACTTGGAATCTCCGCGCGGCAGACGCTGCAAACGGCAGGTGCAAAAGGTGGAGGTCAAGAAGGAGGAGGAGGGGCATCCAACTCCAGCTCCTCCTCGTCCTCCTCCTCCTCCTCCTCCTCCTCCTCATCGTCGTCAGCATCAGCAGCAGCATCATCAGCAGTATCAGCATCGTCGTCGTCAACATTATCAGCGTCATCATCATCATCATCAGCAGCATCAGCATCAGCATCAGCATCAGCATCAGCATCAGCATCATCGTCGTCAGTATCAACAACATCATCAGCATCATCATCAGCATCGCCATTACCGTCACCATTATCACCATCACCATCACCATCATCACCACCACCATCATCATCAGCATGATCAGTATCAGACTCGTCATCAGCTTCATCTTCATCCTCATCGTCATCCCTATCATCACCATCGCCCTCACCATCATTACCATCATGATCATCAGCATCAGCAGCAGCATCATCATCAGCAGCATCATCATCGTCGTCGTCATCCAGCGTCCTTCTCATCTTCCTTCTCCTCCTCCTTACCCCTTTGTGTGTGTCAGTGGGGACGGTTATTGGAAGCTCTGGTACGTGTTGTATGTGACTTTTGCTTTGGGAAGGTAGGCTGTGGAGACCGCCCACGCCAGGTTGCACGATCATAAATCCACACTTCGATGTCGGCATTCCTTATGTTATTGCAGGGCGATGGTTGCAGAACATTTCCGCCTCGGCGCGGCGCCTGGGCTGGACAGCTGCGAGCACGAGTGCCCTCTGCTTGCCTCTGCTTGCGCCAGGTGGCGGGCGTGCGCGTGCGGAGGGCGAGCCGGCAGGCCCCGCGGTGCGAGCGCCCCCGGTTGTGAGCACCGGCGGCGCCAGATCGCAGATGAACGTGGACGGGGCCGCCGAGGGGCACGACGGCGCCCTCGGGAGCGTCGCCCGCCTGAAGGAGGGCACGGGGAAGCACGCCGTGCAGCTGGCACGAGGCTGGCGAGTAGCCCCAGCTCCAGAGGGTCAACCCGCACGCCGTTCGTGTCTTGGAGCTCCGCCTAGGAGTGCGCTTCGTTCGGGGTATCACCGCGGGGCCTTTGGCTCTGTGGCGAGGGAGCCCGCCGCATTCTCGACCTACGCTCTCGTGTCCACCCCTCGGCGGCGGTCTCTTCGGGTCCGGCGTGAGCATCAATCGGCAGATGAGCGATGGCAAGCGGGCAGCGGCGATACGCGATGGCATGGCAAGCACGTGCCACGAAGTAGTACAGCACACTCGGCAGTTTTGTGTTTCAACCTGGGCGCCCAGGAGAAGGATGGCTCCCTTGAGAGAGCAACGGTGGCGCCCAGCAACGGCGGCTCGCTCGAGAGCTACGGCGGCCCTCCGTCCTGGAGTGCTCTCCTCTGCGCGTATCTGCACGGGGCCCGGAGCCTGTGGCGAGGGGGCTCACGATCTTGGCCTGCGTCCTCGTAGCCACGCTGCGACGGCAGTCCCTCCGGGTGCGGCGGGAGCATCAATTGGCAGGTGAGCGAGGGCAGCGGCGGTTCGACGGATCTCGCGCGGCGAGGACATGCGCGCGATGGCATGGCAAGCACGTGCCACTAAGGAGTACGACACTCTCTCGACGGCTTCTCGTTCACTCGAGCGCACAAGACGAGGGTGGCTCCCTCGAGGGCAGCGGCGGCACCCAGCGACAGACGAGAAGAGGGCAGCGGCGCACGGACTGGCCTCGGCGGCAGCCCCGAGGACCAGAGGGCCCCCCCGGCGGCGGAGGCGCGGCACGGACGCCCGCGCCGAGGGAACGCCCCCCGCCCTCGGACGCCCCGGAGGGCGGCAGGCGGCAGCTTGGCATCGCTCAGACGTGTGCATTTTTCCTCGGCGAGAACCATTGAGGACCATCCTGGACCATCGAGCAACAAAAAACACGCACGAAACCGAACAATGCACGGGAAATGGGCGTCCGAGCGACGGCAAGGCAGGAGCCTGACCGCAGCAGCCCAGCAGGCAAGTCGAAGAAGAAGCCAGCCCGACAGCAGGTGCCCCAGGGAAGTCTCGGATATCCCCCGAGGCCCCAGAGGGCCCAGAGTTCTGGGGCACGTGGAGGATGCTCAAAGCTCGACGAAGAGTGCGCCCAACCGATGCCTGAGTGCAAGATGTATTTTCCCATCGATCGTTGAAAGTAGGCTTTTGCGATTCCTTGATTCCAATCTACTTTAAGCGCCATCCTACTTCAATGATCGAGTGGCGTCATCTGTTCCGTCCTCCTTAGGGGGCGGAAGGAACCCGATATATGTTCAACGCCTTCCTACTTCACGTTTCTCTACCTACTTCTTGAAGTGGCCCTTCCCTTGGAGACAAAAAGGGACGCGCGCCGAAATCCCTTCCAAACGAAATTGAATGTTGCCTGATGGTTTCAGTGCGCAGGCGCGCACTGCCGCGCGGCGGTTTGCTGGCACATCTTAGGGCGTGCTTAACTTCGGAGAACACGAGGCATTCATTTTGCACGTTGCGCATGCTACCACGTACCAAACCACGCGTGGTTTGAGCTACTTCGCAGACGCTTTCTGGCGAGGCCCTTCGAGGGCCCTCTCAGGGCCCAGCGGGTCAGCCGAGTGCCGAGACCTCCCGGCAGCCATTGTCGACAGCTGTCAGAAGCAACGCCGCCGAAATTGCCGCCGAAATCGCCGCCGACATCGCCGTCGACATCGCCGCCGAAATCGCCACTGAAATTGCCGCCGAAATTGCCGCCGAAGTTGCCGCCGAAATCGCCGCCGAAATTTCCGCCGAAATTACTGCCGGAATTTCTGCCGAAATTCCAGATTGTGCCGCCGAAGAGGGGCCGACTGTGACCTTGGCGGTGACTCCATACCTGTGGCCGCGGAATGATCGTGCTTACAGGGTTATGAGAATTTCGGTGGCTGAATTTCGGCGGCTATGTTGGCGGAGCTCGCAATTATGTCGGCATCAAGTTCGGCGGCAATTTCGGCGCCGATTTCGGCGCCGATTTCGGCGGCAAGTTCGGCGACGGCGGCGCGGCGAGCGAACGACGGCGGCGCGCCGACGGACCTCGGGGCGGCACCTGGAGGACCTGGCGGCGCATCGCTGGCCGAAGCACGGCACGGGCCTCGGTGCCTCGGCGTTCGCGAAGCACCTCGGGCCGATGGGCCACGCCGACGGGTTGGCCTCGAGGCTGCCCCGATGCGCTGCAGGTGCACCGCCCCGGCGCACCCCTGCCGGCGCTCCCCGAAGCGGATGGTTTCGGGCCCCGCCAGGGGGGAGGGCCGGCGGGGGTTGTTTGGCTGGGGTCGTGTCCCTGCCTCTCTCGGCCGCGCTGGACGCTCGGACTCCTGCTACCTCTCGGTTTTTGTTCGCTCGCTCGCTCGCTCCTCGTCCCCTCCTTGGCTCTTCCTCGACCTCCTTCTGCAGCCTCCTTCCTCGACTTCCTTGGCTACCCACCAGCCCAAGATTAGACCACGAACTTGGGCGCTGAGGAGGGAGAGGACCTCTCTCCGAGCGCCGCCAGCAACGGGCGGCAGCGCGTGCGGGGGCTGCGGCGAGGCGGTGGGCGCCGGTCGCAGGCCCGAGGATCCAGGGAGGATGTTTCGAAACGCGAGGTCACCGAGCTCGCGTTGCGCGCCCACGATGGTATCCTGCTCACCGAGGGCTTTCACGGGCTTGGCGTTTCGCTTTGGCGCGCGCGCGCGCCCGGTTGGGAGAGCGCGGCGAAGGCGTGTGCGCCGAGGGCGGCAGGTGCGTCAGTGACGGAACCGCCAAGGAGAACAGCACACTCGGCAGCTTGGAGGGGTTGAACTTGGGCGCCCAGGACAAGGATACAGTCGGACCGTTGTATAAGATCGAGGTCGGCTCGGGGAGGGTACCCTGGTGTTCTTCGTGTTTGTTGGGTGTGCTCCTGCACCCTGGGGAGGATACCCTTACACGCTTTCTGTGTTTTGGCCGGCGGAGGGTCTCATGTTCTTGAGTGCTGTCCGTCTGGTCTACGTCCGAGTGCACCATCTTCGAGTGAAGCGGCGGCAGCAGGTGACTGGTGAACGAGGACAGCGCCATGTCCAGTGGCCCCGATGACAAGCTGGATGGCCTGAAGGTCCCCCACCACTCATTGGAAGTACGGTGGCTTCCTCGGCGCTCAGCGTGATAAGCCCACGGATCCAATGGCCCGTGCGCGGCTCCCCTGAGGCCGACGTGGACGCGGAGGGGGGCCTTCGACGGCGTGGACGGCGCCGGGCGGCAGGTGGCCCAGGGCAGCAGCGAGGTGCCAGGCCAGGGGAAGCTGGAGGCGGCGCCAACGACCGAGACCACGGGCACAGGCCTGCGCATGGGGAGCCTCCCGCGGCACCTTCGCGGGGCCGAAGGGGGGCGACGTGGAGTTTCCTTGCGGCGGCCTGGGGCCCTCTGGCTGGCTGACCCCCCTTTATACCGGGCGACGAGGGGCAGGACAGTCGGGATCTCCCCCGCGCCACGCCGGCAGTGGAAAGACGCAGGGCGCAGACACGCAACAGAAGGGGGGGAGGAGCAGCATGAGGGACGAGAAGGGTGTTGGAGGGAGGCGCAGGAGGGAAGAGCAGCAGGAGGGAGGAGCAGGAGGAAAGAGGAGGAGGAGAAGGCAGGAGGAGGACACGCACACGGTTGGTGGGGTGGTTCGAGTCGAATCGCAATCGGCTCGCAGCGACGGCGGGGATGCGCGGTGGCAACCGCCATCTGACGAATGAGATCCGACGACCCTCAGGGGGCCAGTACGAAACCCATCAAAGACCAAGGAAGCACCAGAGAGTGGTTCTCTACCTGATCACACATGCTCTACGCACTGCGCTGTAACTGAGCGTTCGCAGAAACACAAGTGGGATGCACAGAGCAGTCATCCAGAACCGACTACAGCAGATCTCTGCAGAGCCGCAGTCGGGCGCCGAGGCCGTTCCTATTGACGGCCCTCAAGCTCATGTTACGGAAGTCAACCTTGAACAGGTGCGTTTTCAGCTTCATCTTAATCTTGGCGTCGCTGCGACCAGACAGAAACCTTTGGTATCTGGCCTCCAACGCCTCATTATCGCCGAAATTGTCACAGGAGATGAAGTCCTCCCATTCGCCATGTATGCCACATACTCTCCATTGATACTGATGGCCCTCGCAAGTGGTGTCGCACACGCGGGCCGTTTGCTCCATGGCCGTCTCGCCGCACGGGTCGACGGCGTCCTTTTTCGCGGGCTCGAGAACCCCGCAGGTGGTGTCGCTAAGCTCCTTGTTGTCGCTGAGCGGGTGGTCCTCGACGCGCTTGTCGAATGCCTCCACGACGGGCTGCTCCAGCGGCTGCTCATCCGCCTCGGCACGCCAGTCGATGACCTCCTTGTCGGCCCCACCCAGATCGGGCCTCTGTAGGTCGATGCACACCTGGTTCTCGCAAGCGGTGTCGTTCAGCCCCTTGCTGTCCACGGTGGGCAGGTCATCTTGCATATCGGTGCTTTCGGTCGGCACCATTGCCATGAACTCCTTAACGGCCAGCTCGCGCTCCAGACGTTGGAGGGCCCGCACGAAGTCCAGCGGGGGGCACTGCCTCAGAACCTCGTCGAGCTGCTGGGGGTCGCCACTGGGCTCCTCGGAAGGGGGCAGCTCCTGCTTCGGGGAAGCGGAGTCGATGCGCAGCTGAGAAGCCACAGGCTCCCTGTCGGAGATGGCGGGCGCCTGGTTGTCTCCCGCCCCCTCGTTAATGAACGTCTCGCCGGAGGCCCGCTGCTCGACGCCGTCCGCTGGGCGCCATCATGGCCTCGACGTGCGGGAGCGGTGTTGAGGCCGTCGCCCAGGTAGCTGAGGACGGCGTCCGCGACGAACTCGCAGTGGCCGAGTTCGGCGAAGTGCTCCGTGACCGCGTGCTGCTCTTCGAAGGCGTACTGCTCCTCGAAGGCGTGCTGCTTCGCGTAGAAGCAGGCGACGTCGTCGCAGCACAGGCCAGGTGGCGGTCCTGCCGCCAAGAGTCCAGCCAGACGGTGGCTGGCCTGCTGGGCCTTCCGCGCATGCGTGGCGCGCAGGCGGGCCCGGCGTGCAGCGCCGCCCGACGTCGTCCTCGGGGCCGCACGCGGGGGCGGCGCACTCGACGTCATGACAGGCGCCATCTTCTGCAGCGGGCGAAACGCTCCCAGTCGCAGCCTGCGCCTGGGGAGAACCAGGCGGGGCAGGGGGAAGCGCGGGTAAGAGCCCTAACCCTGGACCTGACCAGAGGCGCAGTGCATTGGTGACCACGGCCCCCAGAGGCCGCGGTCTTGAGCCAAAGGCAGGAGGAGGAGGGAGGAGGGAGGAGGGAGGAGTGTGTTGCAGGCCCAAAGGGCAGAACAAATCCGTGGCGCTCAACGAAGCGCGGGCCAAAACGTGGCCAACGGCCAACACCAAGGGCACACGTGCAAAAAGGGGGGCTCACGGACACAAGCTGGGACCTGACCTCCGTCTCCTTTTCCCTGATTCTATTGGCTTACGCCACATCCGCCGACCCCTATATAAACTACTGCGTCTCCAGGACTGCATTTCACGTGGCTTGTCCGAATCATGACACGGCGCTCGACATCGTTCCTGTTGCTTCGTTGCTGTTATTGTATCTCTTGGTGCTCTTTTGCGGCCTTTTGGTGGCATCTTGGCCTGTCTGCAGGCCATTTCCGGCTGCCTCGAGGCATCCTGGACCAAGTTTTGGGGCCTCTTGGGGGCTTCCTGGGGGCTTCTTAGAGGCATTTGAGGTTCTCTTGGGGGTCCCTCAGGGCCTCTCGGGTTGTTCTTGGGGCAGGCTGGGGGCGTCTTCGGGCCGCAGGCTCAGGTGCCCTGTGGGCTTCGTTTTGGAGCCGTCTGGGGGCCCTCTTCGGTTGTCTCAGGGGCTACGGGGGCTGTTGTTGGACCCTCTTCGACCTTTCTTGGTGGCCCCTTGACCGTCTGGGGGCGATATTGAAGGTTTCTCTGCCCGTTTGGGACGTTGTGAAAACCGAATAGGCGAGCATGCGAAAAATGTGTGCTTCTCTCAGGGAATGGGGCCATTTTCTGTTTCCTGGGACTCTCCTGGGGCGCATCTTGGAGCCTTTGGGGGCGTCTTGGCAGCTTTGGAGGCTGCCTGGAGGCCATCGTGGGCGTCCAGGGCGATATTTCTGCGAATCGTGGCTCCCTGGGACCATCAGGGGAGCGTTTTGGTGCCTCCTTGGCCAGTTTTGGAGATCTCCGCTCCCCCGTGACGCGTTCGGTCCGGGTTGGGCTGGGCGAGGACGGGAGCGTCCAATTGCCGGTTTGGGGTCCTTGGGGGGGATTATGGGGGGGGATAATCTCACACGCCTAGAGACCCACAAGTGGTCGGCGGATTATGATGATGATGATGATGATGATGATGATGATGATGATGATGATGATGATGATGATGATGATGATGATGATGATGCTGCTGCTGATGATATGTAATGTTGATGGCGATGCTGATGTTGCTATTGCGGAGTACGATGATGGCCATGCTGATGATAAGGTTGTTGATGATGCTCATGATGAGGCTGATGACACTGATGATGATGATGATGATGATGATGATGCTGATGCTGATGCTGATGCTGATGATGATGATGATGATGATGATGATGATAATGTTGCTGATGATGATGATGCTGCTTATGCTGGTAATTGTGCTGATGGCGACTGTGCTGATGCTTATGGCCAGGAGGTTGATGCTGTTGTGAGTGATGATTAGCATCCTGTTGACCATGAGGATGTTGATGATACTGATGACGATGATGGTGATGATGCTCATGGTGATGGCGGTGATGATGATAATGGTAATGATGATGCTGATGCTGATGATGTTGATGATGATAATGCTGATGCTGATTCGGATGATGATGCTGATGATGATGCTGACGATGATTCTGACGATGATGATGGTGTCGATGCTGATGATGCTGATGCTCTTGGCGGTGCTGCTGATGATGCTGACGATGATGCTGATGATGCCGAGGCTACTGGCGACGATGCTGATGATGATGATGCTGATGATCATGATGATGATGATGTTGATGCTGATGGTGATACTCCTCATCATGCTGATGCTGACGCTGACGCTGCGGCTGCTGATGATGATGATGATGATGCTGATGCTGATGCTGATGCTGGCGCTGCTGCTGCTGCTGATGATGATGATGATGATGCCGCGTGCGAGATACTCGTGGCCGTTCCGTCTGAGACATCTCGGCAATTCCAGGCTCATAGATGTCGCGCACACGGTTGTCCAGCCAGTTTCGTCTGAGACGTCCTCACCACTCTAGGCTCATAGATGCTGCGTGCGAAATGCTCCACGCAATCGTCTGAGACATCTTGGCAACTTCAGGCTCATAGCTGCCGCGCATGAGATCTTCCAGCCAGTTTCGTCTGAGGCATCCTCACGATTCTAGGCTCAGATGCCGCGTGCGAGATGCTCCAGGTCGTCTCGTCTGAGACATCTTGGCAATTCCAGGTTCGTAGATGTCGGGCGCAAGGTTGTCCAGCCAGTTTCGTCTGAGACATCCGCACAACTCTAGGCTCAGAGATGCCGCGTGCGAGATGCCCCGGGCCGTTTCGTCTGAGACATCTAGGCAAAGATGTCGCGCACAAGGTTGTCCAGCCAGTTTCGTCTGAGGCATCCTCACGACTGGGCTCAGAGGTGCCGCGTGCTGGATTCTCCAGGCCGTTTCGTCTGAGACATCTAGGCAACTCCAGGCTCATAGATGTCGCGCACAAAGGTTGTTCAGCCAGTTTCGCTTGAGACATCCTCACAACTCTACGTAGGCTCACGGCGTCGGCGGCGGCGGCGGCGGTGACGGTGGCGGCGGCGGCGCTTGCTTCGGCGGCGGCATGCGCATTGGGCTCAAAGATGCCATGCGCCAGGTAGTCGGACCCATTTCGCCTGAGACATCCTCGCAATTCTGGGCTCAGATCTGCCGTGAGCTGAGGTGGTGGAGCCAGTCTGGCCAGAGTCTGAAACGTTCTCGCAACTCTGGGCTCAGATACGCCCTGAACTGAGGTGATCCAGTCAGTCTCGCCTGACACATTATCGCAACTCTGGGCTCAGAGATGCCGCTCACGAGGCGGCTAGTTTCGCCTGAGGCATCCTTTCAACTCTGGGCTCAGACAAGTCCACTCCTGAACTTGTCCAGCCAGTTTCGCTTCAGACATCTTCGCACTGGGCTCAGAGATGCTGCCGACGAGGTGGTGTGGACAGTTTCGCCTGAGACACCCTCGAAATTGTGGCTGCGGAGTTGCCGCGCACGAGGGTGTCCAGCCAGTCTCGCTTGAGACATTCTCGCAGCTCTGGGATCAAGTGCCGTGACCCAAAGATGAGCAGACACAGAATTCGTGCGGAGTGGAGGAAAAGTAGCGAATGATGATGTCGCTGGATCGTCGGCCATGGTGCTGTCGCCAGAGCGGTTGGCCACAGCCTTGATTGGGACGTTTGCTATCGCACGAGCGTTGGATTGTGCTTTGCCCTGGGCGCCAGTTGCATCCCTGATTTTGAATAATGCTCTCGCCAGTGCGCTGGCCACATGCCTGATAGGGAACGGTGCTCTCGCTCGAGCGCTGGCTACATCTACATGCTAGGGCACGCGTGGTCTCCATCTTGGAGGGGTTGTGCCGGTTGTTCGGGGGCTTCTCCGTAGTTTTTTGTTATACGTTTTCCATACAACATCGTAGAACTCGCATGCGTTTTCATATGCGTCCCATTCCACACGATGAGCGGTTGTAGAACTCGAATTTGGGCCAACATTCCCGAACCAGTCATTGGGAGAAGGTTCTTCGGGGGCCTGTAATGAAGTTGCCAGGCCACGTGCACGATGGTAGTAATAAGGGCCTCATCTGCCCAGACGGGGTCACGTGAGAGAAGTCTATCATCCTCCTAATCGTTCCCCTTTTCTTCCTGTCCTTCCATGGCCAGTCGTTGCATCGTGGAGTAAGGGTCCCATCAGGTGGGAATTTGTCAGGCAGAGGGACCTTCCTTTCTCGAAGGTCTTGTTTGACGCTTCGCACAGTCTCGCCAGCCATCCACAAAACAATGCCTGGGCGACGTGATGGCTGCTGGGAAGTAGAGAAACATATAGTGAACCCGAAGACCCCACAAAGGGTGAATTTAGAGGATGGAACGGTGGAGAGCCTTCACCGCCATCCTGGATCTCTCATGTTGTGACGAGTTCGGAGCGACCAGTGTGTCTCGGGCAGCCAGGAGGGGCTCACAATAAGGCAGCACAGTAGGCAGGACAAATCGTACACATGCATGGGATACCCAATCATTATTCATGGGCCGTGTAGTTGAAGGGGACCGCCCATCTCTTCTCGTGTCTCATTGTTCTCATCGTCCTCTCATGTCGGTTTGTCTGCTCTCTGTTTATATGTGTCTCTTTCTATATTTCTCTTCCGTAACCTTTTCGGCTCCATATCCTCATTCATGAACAGCCATGGGCGTTCATAGTCTCACTATATGCTGAATTTGTGTCACTGTTATTTGCATTTGTTCGGCGCTTCGGCCCCACCCTGCAGCACCCTCGCGGTGCATGAAGCAGGCCGAGTCCGAATCGTGGTCCCTCTCCCGGCTCTCTCGTAGGCTCGTTTTCAGGCGGCCTTGGCCCGTGTAGGGTGCGTCTGGGGCTGTCTGGAGGTCCTCTGGGACAATGTGGGGGCCCTCTTGAAGGCCTTGTCGGCCGTCCTGGGGCGACCTCGGTGGCGTCATAGGGCGTTTTGGAGCGTCGGACAGGCCGGAAAACGAGTTTGCTGAAAATGTACGTTTTACGAAGGGGATAGGGCGATTTTTGCGTCTGGGGACCCTGCTGGGGCACATGTTCGGGGCACTTTGGGGGTCTTAGGGGGTTCTAGGGGAACCTCCTGGGAGCTCCTGAGGGCCATTTGGTTGCCTTTTGGATCGTGGTCCTCCTCTTGACCCTGTCGTGGGCTCGTTTTCAGGCGGCCTTGGGCCGTGTCGGGTGCGTTTGGGGCCGTCTGGAGGGCCTCTGGGACAAGGTGGGGGCCCTCTTGAAAGCCTTTTGGGCCGTCCTGGGGCGACCTCTGGGGCGTCATAGGGCATCTTGGAGCGTCGGACAGGCGGGAAAGCGAGTTTGCTTAAATGGTACGTCTT